CGAATGAGGAAAACCAAATCGGGGCCAGTTTTTCTAGGGGTCATTCCACTTCTCATTTGCCTATCCAACTAGCTTGCCTTGTTGGTCTTCCTTCCCTTCCGGCATGTGGATGTATCTTTCTTTTGAGTTGGCAATTCTTTGCTTGTGGGTTGTACCGGGAAACCAGCAGCCACCCCATGTCTCATTCCCCTATCGAACTTGCTGGTGCTCAGGGAAGGAACCCACACGGGATGGTTTACAATTACGGGTCATTCCATTTCTCATTCCCTGCAGGCGAGAAACCAACAGGCAACTCATGTCTCATTCCCCTATCGAGCTTGCTGGAGCTGAGTGGGGAATGTGGGAAAGAACCCAGAAATTCCCTTAAAGGAAACCACCAGTTGGATGGTTTATACGGGTCATTCCATTTCCCATTCCCTGCTGAGAACCAGCCATCGAAGCAAGTTCGCCAGTGCACAGAAAGGGCGATCGGGTACCTAGTAAGCCGCTAGTAAGCCTGGTTATAACCCACCAAAGCCATGGTTACAAGTCTCCTTCCCCAGAATTAGCTGCTTTTTTTTTTTTGCTTTTTTGGGGTCCCTTTGTTTTCCACTAACCAGCAAAAATATAATTCTTGCTGGGGTCCTAATTCCAGTCTAGTTCTCCGTTCAGCGAATAATTTCACCAAACTTACCGATCACTTCATGGTTGCTGGTGGGAAACATTTTGCATTTTTGCTTCTAGTGGTTTAGTGGGAAATCCAAATCCACTTAACTGCTAAAGTTACTTTTGTTGCTCCCCTAATCCAACCACTTAACTGCTAAAATTAAATTTGTTGCTCCCCTTCCAACGTCAACCAAGACTGACTAGGTACCCGATCGCCCCTTTGAGCAGTTCACCCCGCCTTTTGGCCAGAAGCCGCTCCAGAGCCCGGGCACGCTCTATGCCAATGCCTTGGAGGCAGCAAACCAAAACTCCGGCGGTGATCGGTGTGGCTCGTCTTTTTCCCTTTTTTCTGTTTTTCTTCGTTTTTTTTCCCCGGTTGGAACGAGGGGTGAAGGGAAGCCAACATCTTATGTTCCCCTTTTTTCATTTTTTTTTCTTCTCCGGTTGGACCCCTCGTTTTTGAGGGACGCCAAAATGAGAGCCGCGTGGCCCGTTTGTCCGACCTTCAAAAAAGACAAGCCCATATTGCCGGAGACGACCGAGATTGGGATGTTTGGCCCCCTTCAAAAACCGAGAGGAGAATGAATGGGATCCACTGGGCCAAAAAATTGGTTCTTGTTATACCCCACTGAGTTGGCAACCTCCATGTTCGGACGAGACTCGACTCGGGGCCCCGAGTCTCGCAAGAGTCTCGCAAGAGTTGCCAGGCCGGGCCCGGAGATTCCCAGCCACTGCTTAAAAGGGCTCTTTAAAAGATCTCCATTCTGCGAAACCATTCGAAACATGGCCGGCTTTTTCAACACCAAAATGAAGTTGGACGCCGCCATTTACAAGTTGCAATGCTCAGGTGTATAATGTAAGGATCCCTGTTTAACGCACGGAAAGGAGACCTATCACCATGGTAAGTGGGTTACCGCCAGGACGAAGTGCCATGCCCCTTTAAGTGGGGAAACAGATTTACACACAAACCCGTTGCTCACTAGTTGTCTCATAATTCAAGAACACACAGGTGGCGCAGGAGTTTGTCTCGATACGAAACCTGCCACTGCGCGGTTTGTGTTTCTCCTCAAAACGGCCCTTAAAGGGGCAGGGTACAAAAGAATCGGCGATTCCAACTTGGGATACTGGAGATGGTGTCAAGCCGAACCGCCGGGCGTGGTGTCGATTCTGGGACAAGAAGAAAATGATGTCAAGAGTCACAGGGCTCCTTAAAAGATACATTTTGCCCATTTGAAACATGGCTTTTTCCACCAAAATAAGGGACATGACCATTTACAAGGCAATGTTCAGGAGTACAATGTAAGGAGCATCCCAAGCCCCACTAAAATAGACTAAAGCGGGTTTTGCACCTACCCCAAAATGGTACCATTGGTTTAGACCCACAGCCATATGCCAATCATAACTCCCTGAGTGCTTTTCTTCGAACATGCCGTGTTTCCTCCATGTTTTTTTCTCGAGGGCACCTCTCTTTTAGATGGGTTTAAAAGAACCACCATTCTCTTACGGGGGCCCCCGATGTTGAGAGCCGGCCACGAAGCAATGGGGAGGGTCTAAACTTGCATGTCTTCACCAAGTATGTGTGTGGTACATAAAAGGGTCCCGGATTTCGACCATTGCTTTAGAACCATCCAGAACCATGGGGACAAGCCCTAGGACGTGGACCACCATTGTTCTAAGCCCAGTTGGCCTGTGGTGCCCTTTTTTTTTTTGGAAGGGCCCCTTTAAACTCACCCAACCAAAAACGGATGCCCTTTTTTCCCATGGCCACTGGGCATCTGAGTAAGGCTTGACCCCCCATTCTCTTCCCCATCGCTTTCCGAAAAGAAGGACTCTCCCAGCATAGGGGAGAGCTTGGGGGTGAGCTGTGACCACGAAAAGGGTAGCCTCCTGTCCGTGGCACCTAAAGGGCCTCTACAAGGGTCCTGTAAGTCCGCCAGGTTCGTGAGTGGACAGGATGGAACCCGAAAGAGAAATGAGACACCCCAATGCTTTGGTGCATTTTGCTTGGCTGTTAGGACTTTAACTTTTTGCCAACTAATGGGGTGTCCACCCAATTATTAAAAGTTAAACTTTTAGCAGGGGAGCAGAAAGCAACCGAGGTAAGCTTCGCTGTTGGCAAGGTTTGTGTTTGAAACCGATTTTCGATTTTGGCGGCAAGGCACAGAGAGTTGTTCCAAGCCCATAGAAAAAAAAATCCAATGGAAGTTACTGAAAGCACTGGCCGTTCCCGGTACGCTTCAAGGGGTCGACTGGGTGCAGGTAAGTGGTGATCGTAAGCCTGAGACAACCCACGAAGAGGAGAGGAAAATTTTCGCCATGGCTACGTGGGCTGACGTGCGATGCATAAACCCTTTCAGAAATGGAAATGACCCCGGATGAAGAAACCCATGTGGATGGACAAAATCGGAAGCACCTAGAAGCCCAACGGAAGGAGGCGATTCCCCAACAAATGGCACCCCCTGTTCAGAACACGATTCCCCACCAAATGGCACCCCCTGTTCACAACACCAAACGACCCCCCCCCCCCGACCCCAAATGGCGCGTGTGAAAGGAATGGCCATGACCAGTGACCCGATCGAGGGGCTTCCTTCCATTTTTTCGGCTCGCTTCGTTCCGGGAAATCGTCCTTTTGCCAGAAAATTGAGGTGATTTGCTTGAAAAGGAATCCTTCACGAGGGGGTCGTTTGCAATTTTCCACAGGTGGCAAACAGCCGGCCCGGGTTCGTTCCGCTCGTGCTTCAGGCCTTCACTGCCCTGCCGGGAACCTCAGTGGGAAGTGCGAGAAACCAAAGCGCCCAAAGCGAATCGAGAAATCACTTCGCTGTTCTTGGCATGTTGGTTGGTTTTTTAGTTTTTTGGTTCTGGGTCTGCAAAAAACAAAGTTTTTGCTACCATACCAAGAGTAGAGATGATCACCTTTTGGGTTCCAACCATGATGGAATCCCATGGTCAAGGTCCCCAAAGCTGATCGCCTGTGATTTCTGGGCTGGGTGCAATGGCCCCCTGAACTGGAATCCCCTTCTTAGATGTCCGCTGCCAGCGTAAGTAGGTTATAGCCGATGGTTATAACTTGAGGAACTGGATGTCCAACCAACTACGCCTCTAGTAATGGCCAGTGGATGTTTCTCAAAATGGAGCCATCCAGACCGCTTTCCTTGCGTCCCTTCAAGTCCTTGAATCGAACCAACATCAGGAGGGCTATAACCAATGATTATAAAGTCCTTGGACGGCCACCCAACATCAGGAGGGTTTTCACCAATGATTTTGACTTGGGTGTAGGCGGTGATGCCCTTGCCAGGACTACAAACTACGTACCTGGCGTTGGCAACGAACATCCAAGCCCAGTGAAAGTTCATGCCCCCTGTGGGTTTTGTTCCAACAGAGATGCCTGTTTCCTTGGATTTGTGAAGGAAACAAGACTCCTTGAATTTCCGAAAGTGGACTCTTCTTGTTGGACAGTTGTAAAGGGCTAACATTGGGTGCTCGAAAGTCACAGCCACAGAGGACATTGGGAAGTGCTCGGACACAACACGTTACCTGAAAAAAATGCATTGATGACTTGCAACATGAGGCAATCAAGCATTGGTGGCGGGGTGGGGTGGGGTGCAACTTTGAACTTGTGTGTCAAGAGGAGCATTGTCGGGCGTAGCAATGCAAACGACATATATATATATAATACACATACATGTATCTTTACTGGGATGCTCCAAGTTCCCTTTCAAGACAGGTTGATCGTTTAGGTCTAAGGGGCTAGGGTCTAAGTAGCTGATCTTGGTCCAAAGGTCCAAGAGGAGTCGCAACTCGGTCGAAGATAGACGGTGGAGAGACTCTAGCGTGAGGCAGAGCGCCCATGAGAGCGCGCTGACCAATGCAGCGGCGCCCGGTGGGACCTGGTGGGGAGGTTTTCTGGACGCTAACATCTTCCATTTGCTGAAACAAATATTTTGTTCATTTTCCCTTGTTGGTTTTAAATGGAATTTATCACTGGAAATATGTTTTTTTTCTTTTCCAGGGGTCTCAACCAAATAGAAGAGATGAGTTTTCCACTAGCTTCCCAGCAACTGTCATGGACATGCACAAACCCCCTGTCCAAGAGGAAAGTCGTTCTTCTCCAGTGGCAGGGTTGTGGGATCAAGGGGTTTATGCCCACTTTTGTGACACAAGGTAATCTGCCCTTGTAAGTCTTTGAGAAGCCCTTTGTGTTGTACCACAGAAGTGGTCATTTCCCACAGCCCTGTTCTACACGGGTTCTGTGCATTGTTAGTCGGTGGGAGGGACCCCCAACCTACCGCTTGGGGGATATCTTGGGGTAGATGCCCGGTAGTGGCTAGATGGTCCCAGTACACCCTGCGGGTAGCTTTGGTTTGGGAATAGTGGGAACCATCTTAGGCTGGATGCAGAAGGGCTTGGCGGCTGCTTTTTTTTGCCGCTGCGATGATACAGTCCGCTTTCTTCCGCACCGCTCTTGTTGTTTCTTCTGAGTTTGCTGGCCAAGTTAGAACGAGCTCGCCTGTGCGTAAGACGAGCTCAGTCATGACGAATGTCCTGTTGGGGGTTCCCTTATTTCCAGTTGAGCCACATTCAAAACCCGGGTAAGGTTAGTAAGGGACAATCCCAGCCATAAAGGGTTCCGCCCTTTTTATCATTTCCATGGTCTTGGGTAGACCTTTTGCCTACTGGGTTTTGAGTTTGACTCAGTAGCTTTGTTTGTTTCTGGCCCAGATTGCTGGGCGCGGCGCCCACATGGAAGCCCGGGAGGTCCGTAAGCAATTGTTCAAACTAGTTCCACGCCAGTCAGTTGAGGTAATGAGAACCCGGGATGATATTATCGAAAGGGGTACTTCACTTTTGGGAAAAGCACCCCCGCGCGCCATGCGCCAGCTTTCTTTACTTTGGCATCCTTGGAAATTAGGGTATGGGCGCGTCGTTTTTGAGGATCCCGCGTTTTTATTTATTTTTAGAAGCCGAGCTACCGATATACCCGAGCGGGTGTGGGTTGCTAAACATCTGATATTTTTCTCCTTGTGTTTGCGATGAGCAGCTGAGACAAGAACGACCCAGGGAGGATTCGAGCCTCCAAGAGAAGCTTGAAAGACTTCCAATGGGCAACTGGGTCAGCTGACTTATCCTCATGTCTAATTCTGGCGAAGAAAACAGATGGCTATGTCCTATTCCTGGGCCTCCTGTTTTAGGTTCGTCAGTTTGCATTCATCGTTCTTTGCAAAAACCTGATCCGTTTTCCCAGGGTTTTGGGCGGTTTTTTTAGAAGGAATGATGCCTGGAAAGAATGGGGAAGGTAGCCCTACAGTTGTATCACCTCCAAAACCCCGCCACATCAACTACTCAAATATCGGGGCGAGCCGTAGGATCCACTAGGGGTCTCACTTCCCGGCTTTTTGGGACGATCATTTTAGGGGTAAATACAGAAATCCAGTCCACTCAGGAAGTTGGGGTAGGCAAGGGGCGGGCCACGCACAGTTTACCTTATTCTAGGGGTACCTTCCCCATTCTTCCCAGGGATCTTTCTAGAACGCCACCAAAAACCCTGGGGAAATGGCTGGTTTTCGAGAAAAGAAAGAAAGAAACAAAAACGATGGTTCAAAAGAATGGTGAATCAACCCCATAGACTTATGATTGTTCGCCGGGGAAGCCTTCGAGCTGAGGTGGCGCCAGAGTTCCCAGACGACACCATGCTGCAGAGATTGCAGGAGGAGCGATCTTTGACGGGGGTTCCACCATTTGGTCAAATGAATATTTTTTATTTACCCCTGTTGGTTTTAAAGGGAATCTATCACTACTGGCAATATTATATTTTTTTCCAGGGGACTGATGCAAATGGAGGGGTGTTGAAGAGGGGTGTAGGGTGGGTTGGGTATGGAGTCGGATTGGGATAGGTAGGGCACATGCGTCATTGCGCTCTTGCCGACTCTTTTTTCCCCCTTTCCCGTTTGGCTTTCCTTGATGTGGGGGGTTCTCGACAATCCTCAGGTAAACGATGGGGGTTATATGAACCCCGCCCATTGTTTTACTGTTGGCCACGATTCGAATCCCAGAAGCTCCATCTTGGCAAAAAAGGAGACTGCGCCATCTTCTCGCCCGGGTGCAGGATATGGGGGTGGCTCAAAATTAAACAGGAGGGGTTACGCTGGTTTTGGTCCATGTTTCCACTTACCAGGGTACCATTTTGGTACCGGTTTTTTGAGCCACAGCCATATGTGTTGACTAGTTGGGGGTTGAGTTTCGCTGACGGCGCAATGCGAGGCCGGGCCAATCTGCGAGCCCCCTCAAACCTGGTTCATCAACTGGGCATTCAGGTCACTCATCTTGATTGATTTGGGCGTGTTTGTTTTTTTTTCCTCGGGGGGCCATAAAACAACACACACACGCACACACCTTTGTGAAAACAGACGACACCACTGGGTGGGACCATTTTCTTGGCGTTCCCTCTTTCAGGTTCTGGTTCGTGCTTTGGGGAGTACCTAGGGGCCAACAAGTTCAACATTCCAACCCCAATGCTTCTTACACAAACCCATTGGTTTGATTAAGCAGCAATCAGATCATACTGTGGATGGACGAAATCAATTTCGCACCAGTTGGATTTGGTCCATCTGCAGTACTGCTGCCAGTCTTGAGATGTTCCACCAAGCCTTTGATAGCCATTGGGGCTGGGATGGAACCCTATGTGGGTTTCTCGTTATGGTTGGATTCCTTTTGGCTTCCCTGAAAACCAACCAATCAGGGTCCCCCTCCAAACAAAGCAAAGAAGAAACAGGACACACCCATATACAATGGGACACGCTGGATGCCAGTTCGTGGATGCCAGTTTATGTGCGAAGGAAGCAAGCGACCTCAATCTGTGATTCGGGGGTTGGGCCCAAAAAAAACGCGACGACTACGGCCTATTCGTCGCTAGGACTCCTTATTGGGGGTTCTGTTTGGCTTCCCCCCGCCCCAGTTTCTGTTGCAATTGCCAATGAAACTGTCTAGTCCAAGCACACTGCTTTGCTGTGTCACTCTCAAGCCCACGTTATGCATCTGAATTCAACCAGCGTCAGCGCCCGGAGGGGCCGCCGGCGCCGGCGCCTCGCGCGGCTCGGGGCTCGCGGCTCGGGGCTCGGGGCGTCGGCGCCAGGATGAGGGCCTCCGGTCGTTGCTGCGGATCGAGGAGCACCAGGTGCCAGGCACCAAGGCTCGATCCGCGCATTCGATCCGAGCGGCCCGGGACGTGAAGCGGGGAATCGGTGCTTCGGAGCGAGCCTCTGTTGAGTGCTTGGGGTAGTTTGGGGGCGGCAACCGAAACCCTCCCTGGAAGTTGCGACCATAGAAGATCCACACAACCCTAGGTGCTTTTTGTCTCCCAGGAAAATTCCAAGCGTGGAACCCACGGGCCCGGCAGCGCCTTAGCGGCCCAAGCGACTAGCACAAGGTGGTAACTTGGAAACTGCGTGGAGGGAAACCCGAGAACAAACGAGATTTTCTATGGGTGCGGGTTTATTTTGGGATTTGTTTTCGGATTTTCTATTAGTTCCATTTTCTATTGGTTCGGAGCAAACTCTGGAGCACTCCAAAAAAAAACATATGTTCGGCATCTGCCTCGTATTTCGTCAAACCTATACGAGTATGTGTTTGTGTGTGTGTGTGCGTGTTTCGTTGGAGGGTACTTGGGAGTCCTGCCAAGTTAGTGTGGTTGTAACCTAAGTTATAACCCGCTTACAAGCCCCCTAAGTGGAGCCAACCTTGCAATTAAGGGTTGTAAGACAGGTGGCTAACCGCCTTCCAACTCGGCCTAACATCCACGTACCCTTTTTTGGAGATGCGTTTAAACGGAAACCAAAAGGAAACTCCCCCCCCCCCCCCCCGGCATTTTTGCGGGCTATTTTGACCCACACACGCACACACAAAAACAAACACGCACAAAACTCACACGCGAAAATCACACAAAGAAACATACACAGGCAAATGTATACTTATACATTCTCTCTCTCTCTCTCTATATATATATATATATTATATATATATATACACGTGCAGATTCAGTGTAGACAGCACCCGCCTTCGCCGTTGGATTTGCATCTGGCCCATTTTCACAGCAGGCGCTTCAGACCGTAAAGCTCGATTCAGACTCAAACTTGAAGACACATCATGCTGGTCGAACATAATGTCCAACTCAATTTTGATAGAAATTATGGCCTTTCTACTTCTATGTAAATTCTAAGTCAGTTTAGCGTCAAATTGAACAGACCTGTCTAATCTCCAGTGCCAATTGTTGCATTGGAACCGAAAAATAAGGGTCGAAGCGCCAAAACCGCCACAAAGGTGCAAGACATGTCGCCAAAGACACGCGTCAGTCCCGCCGGTTGTCGAGAAACAGAGGTGAAATGTGTATTTAAGGGAATCAAGTTCAGTTTGGAAAGGCTTCAATTTCCTGAACATCTCATTTCATTTGAATTGCTCAGCCAGGCCAGTAACTGGAAGTTGTTTCAAAGAAGCATGGATCGCCGCTTCAATGAATGCCGTAGGATACAGCTCTTTTTAGCATTCTTCCCACATCGTGTCTCCTACAAAACCGTAGGTCAGACTGGGCGCCTCCCAAGCAAGAAACACAACGGACGAGGCGCAATTCCCATAGGGGCGTTACTATGTATAAATATATGCTCACGCCCCGCCATGATGTACCGTCACCTTTGCGCATCTGCCATCTTTGCAAATCTTCTCATTTGCCACCGTCCAAAGAACTTTTCCCACATGTGCTCATCTGCCATCTTCCGCCTTTGCAAATCTTCTCCACTGCTTTCTGCGACCGTTTGCCTGCTGTCGTTGGCCTACTCAGTACCTGTCCGTCTGATCGCATCCCTCTGGCTCGTCAATTCCGCGTCGCTGCCTCGTCACTTCCTCGCAGCTGCTTCGCTGATTTCTTGTCGCGGCCTCCACTACCTCATCACTTCCTGATTGCCTCCTTGTTGCTGCCCAGTTGCCTGTGTTGCACGCGAACAACATTGGCTGATCAGTGCTGCTGATGATTCCTCGCAAGCTACGGGCATCGTGTGAGCAGCCTGGAGATTTGCCCCAGTCTGCTCTGATTCAGGTTTCGCCTTGCTAGCATTCTTAGGACTCAAGAGATGGCTCAGTTCACCACTGCAGAGGTATCGCCCGACGACCTGAAGGACAGAGGTTCAACATCTACCATCTTCCAAGCACAAGATGACTTGCGTAGTTGCTGAGACTAACTTAACCTCCTGCTGCCGATCAACCTATTCTTGAGGGAGATGGCGCGACCTGAGCCAGAGGCTTCACGCAACTGGCCGCCACGGGACCTGTGAGAGGGATGCGGCGAACCACCGCCATCACTGCCTCAAGGCGTTCGACGGTGAACTTCTCCCGACCACCCGCGGGTTGGAGAAAATGCATAAATAAATAAATAAATATATATATATATATATTTATGTGTATATATATATATATATATATGTGAATATGCACATGCAATGCCCTCAAAAAGACATTGACATATTGGTTGTACACCCCGATCTTCCCTTGGGCGGTTGGTGGCCCATTTCCCCTGTGCAAATCGTAGGGTCCGATGTTCCTTTGTGTCTGGTTGGGGAATTAGAACAAGCTGCCCTGCAAATTGCGCCAGTGCCTGCAGGTGCCGGTTTGGTCGACCCTATTGAACAGTACGGAAATCACTGGTGGCTAAAGTGGCAGGGCCTCCCTGCTTAGGTTGGTTTAAAGGGAAGGAGGACACCCATGAGGTTCGGTCAACATGTCCAGTTCGAGCTGCTACGGGCCATAATGAAGGCATTGGAGATATCGTAGAATTTGCCGATAGTGGAAATCATCTACTGTAGTAAAAATGAGTGGGCCTTCTAATGGGCCCCCTGTCCACGGAATGTGTGTGTGTGTGTGTGTGTGTTTTTTTTGGATTGGGGGGCCCTTGTCGACCTTGATTTGAAGGGAAATGAGGCATTTTGACACATGCCCAGCTTTAGTTCCACATCCTTGCAGGGTGGCTCTAATAAAAACCCCTCGAAAGAACCACCCCAGAAAGGCACCACGGATACCCACACCGCCGGTTTGCAGGTCTCTCCATGCCCCCACAAAATTTGGTTTCCCGCAAAAAACCAGGCCACAAGCCTCCAGTACCACCCATATTGTGGAGCTCCTAGACAGTCTGCAGTCGCTCGGCGGCAGGCGCACGCGAAGCAAGCGAAAAGTGCGCGGACACCTCAGGGGTTGTGGGAAGAGCGAGCGCCCAAGACCGATTCCCAAAAGGTGCAGTTGAGTAGGTGGTTCTGCTACATTGTTTCATGCGCCCGAGACCATGTTTAGCTTCGAACAAAATCGACCAACTCAAGTAAAGGGCTCCTTCGCCACCAAAAAGAATATCTTAGTTTATCGGTTTATCGGCAAGCCTCCGCCTCGTTCCCAGGAAAGTGGTTGGAAGTTTTTTTGCCAAGTTCGCAAATGGTCAGCGGAGTTCACCTTTCGCCTTGCCCAGTCCAGCGCTGGAGTCGGAGGCCATCGAACTTTCGGCTTTTGGGGCGTTCAGGCGGAGCGCGGCCGCCGAGCCCTCAGAGGCCGGGGAAACCCCGCTGGGATGGCGCTCTCAGATCTTCAGATTCCAGTTTTTGGGATGGTTTTCGTTTGGGCTCTCCACAAGTTGGAGCCAAAAAGGGTTGGCTCAGTGGAGTGGGTTCCCCTCTCGAAAATCAAACCGACCTAACAAGGGCTCCCCTGCTCTGCCGGGGTCGCTGGTCTACCGGGAAAGGGTCCATGAACTTGGTTTCCTGTTGAACCATGCGATGGAGGAACAACAACTCACTGCAAGCCAGGCGGACGAGGCTTGCTCAGCCCAGGATTTTCCTTTGCCTCCCTTGAGAAATCAAAGCCAAAATCTTTCAGCGAACTGAGCCGGAACAACCGGCATGGGGCTCGCTTCAGCTCTCCCTCGGACAGGCTTCATGTTGAGGGGAAGCACGTAATCCCGCATTTCAACTTGATGGCTCCCATGCATCCGGTTCCTTAGCCTTTTGGCTTTTTAATGTTTAGTGGCAGTTTCCATTTAACCCACTAAATGTTAAACTTTTAGCGGGGGATCTGAGGGCAGCCCAGTCAAAGTTCGCTCAAAATGGGCCAATATACCAAGATGCAATTGCTTGACTGAGGGATCGCACGCTTAGGCAGTTTTCCGGAATCTGCACCGGGATCGAGGCATTGCATATCGAATTATATAGGTTTATAGGCATGTGTGTATTAACACAGTACATCTCGCCTTCCTGAAATTCAGTTTTTTCCTTTTGCATTCCAGTAAAAAATCAGCTAGAAAGAGGGGGTCCCCTATTTGAGAACCCCCCCCCAAACCCCCAGACCCCCCCAAACTGACATGAGAACCCCCAAACACCCCCAGTGACAAAACCTCTGGACGGCTTATGGCCGGCTTGCCGCGTGTTTCGGCTTATGGCCAGGTCTTCCCAAGGCGCTGGCTGCTGGACCCGGCGCTGAGCCCCATGGGCGCCAGCTACGGCTACGCCCAGCTGCAGCGGGGCCCCGAGGCGGGACGTCGAAGTCGCGCCGGACGCGTCGCGTTGCCGCCGTTTTCCGGTCGCGGGTGGTCGGCGGGTCGGCGGGTGGGGAGGAAAAGACTGAAGACCCAAAGCGTGGAGGTGGTGGTTGACCGCAAGGGCCGGGGCGAGTTGACGTTTTTGTTCTTCTTCTCTTTTTTTCTCCGCGGCACCACCAAGATCAGCTTTTTCTCGTTTTTTTGGAGGGGGATTTTGTTTGCCTGCTGAGTTAGGCGAATGAGGTCCTGCAGGTCTCTGGGGCTCAAAATGCCACCACGCCATACAAAGTGAAGGGTTCTACTTCATGCGCGAAAAAAGAAACAACCTCTTTTGGGGTCAACAAGTCTACGCAAAGGAAGCCCTGGTTTTGGCAGGGGTTCCCAATATGGGTGTGTCTTTAAAATGCGGAACTTTTTTTTGTGTATGTGTGTGTGTGTGTGTGCGAATGCCTATTTTGACACATGCCCCGAAGGGGTTGGACATCGACAAAGATATCTTGACCCCAGAGGCCAAATGTCCGAAAGGTTTTGCTCCTGAAGGGTGGGTTGACACGACATCACCAACCGGTTGCATATTTTTAACTGGGCGTGTCTTAAAGATGGGGGACCATCTAAAATGGCAGTTTTGAGCAGAAGACCCCCCCCGCATCGGTTTTAGACATCATCTTTGGTTGCCAACTCAACGTGGTGATTCCCAGCCGTCCGGTTCCTTAGACTTTTAGGTTTTTAGTTGGTTTAGCGGTTCGGTTTCCATTTGGCTGTGGCTCAAAAGCGGTACCGAAATGGAACCTTGGTTCGTGGAAACAAAGGCCAAAACCTGCGGTTTGCCCCTCCTGTTTAATTTTGAGCCACAGCCATTTCACCTACTAAAAGTTGAACGCTAGCAGATCGGAAAACAGACCACCCAGATTCCTGCTGGCGAAACTGTAGGGCGCCAGCCCGGGCAAAAGAAGACGAGACAGCCCCGTACCTCCATTTGCTGATTATTTTTATTATTTTCCCTTGTTGGTTTTAAAAGTAATTCATCACTACCGGACATATTTTTTATTTTTCCTGGGGCCTTAACCAAATGGAAGCATAGGTGTGGATATCATGGGCCCTTCTGATGAATTTGGGCAGACTCCTGTACCAGGTTTTGATTGCAACAGTGGTTGTCTAGGTCCCCGTAATGCCCTTTTACCGTTTCTTTTTTGGGGAGGGTTCCCCTACTAAAATAGACTACAGAAAAAGGGCACCCTTATTCTAACCTCTGTACTGGAGGACCTAGTTGTAGTGGCCCCTTGGTTTGTGTGGTTTGCTCAGGGTGCGACTCAGTGTCTTTTTGTTGGGCAGCCTTTTTGGGTTGGTTTCATGGCAAACCAAGACAAAGGAAAAAAGCGACGTTCTTTGGGTGCCCTTGGGCATATTTCCCGAAGCGCAGATTTGGAGCGAATGTTAGATGACTTCAGAAAATGTAAAACCGCCGTTCTTGGGGTCCCCTATTTTGACACAGATTTCCCTAAGCAACTTTGGAACTAGTAGATGACCTTGGGGTGATGGCCAAGAGGGAAAGACTGTTCTAAGGGTTGCTTCCCCATTCTTTCCAGGGATCCTTCTTTCTAGAAAGCCACCAAAAACCCAGGGAATCAACCCCCCAGAATAGTCGACACTGAGGGGGGCCCAGGGCGAAGTGCTGAAAGGTGACGCGCGGGACATGTTTAAACCCTCACTGAATGACAGTTTGTGTCTTTGGAGGCATCCCAAAAGCGATGAATGCGGTGGGCCAGACAGTTACTGTGAGTTTGTCAGACAGCCTAGTTGGTTTTTAACGTGCGCAACCCTACTTTCCAATCATTCAAGCGCTCTTTTTCAGAACCCCCCCGATTTTTAAAGGCAGATCCAATCTAGGGCTTTTCAGGACCCACCCCTGAAAGTGAGGTTTATTTTTCGGTCGCTGAACCCAAAGCCGTTTTCTTGGGCTTGGCTCCGCGTGTGTGATTGGAACATAGGGTTGCGCACGTTGAAAACACTGGGCTGTCTGGCAAACTCACCCTTAGGGTGATGTTGATTTTTCGGTCCTAACCCAAAGCCGTCCTTTCAGGACCCCTTAGAGTGATGTTGATTTTTAGTTGGCCGAACCCAAAGCGCCGATTTCTTGGGTTCGGCTGGCTGCTGGCGTCTCTCCCCGCCTTCGGAGGGCGAGCTCTTCGCGGTGATGAAGTTCCCGCGCTTCTACCTCACCCCGGACGAGTCCGGGGGCTTCGACGTGCAGAGCCGGCGGGGATGGGGGTGTTGGGCTGGGGCTTTGGGCGAATTTTGGGCGGGCTGCCTGGGACTCTTTTTTTAAGGCGGGTTTTTGTGGGCATCTTTTTTTTGCAACCTCCTTTTAGGGAAGTGTTCAAACTAAGAACGCCAGATTAGAGCTCTTATTTGGCGCTCTCCCTTTTAGTTGTTTTTGAAGGGCCGTTGGAGCCTGCAGATCCACTGTAAGTTTCCACAGCATCCTTGAGGGATTGCGGCGGGATCAAGGTGTCCTGCCAGACGTAACTGCAACGAGCTGTTGTTGGGGTTCGGAATCGCGTTTCTGAAAATAGGGTTATCGGAGCCCTTTTTGGCTGGGTTTTAAAGGGAAACCAAAGCACACCACCTAGCTGGGGTCCCCTAAATTTTGAGAAACACCTATCTTGGTTTTTCCTTTTTCCCAGGCAACCGAATGGCAAAGTCTTGGGGGCAGATCCATCTCACTCAGTTTTTGGGGAGGGTGCACAGGAAGGCTGGGAACACCAGACTGGATCCGTCACAAACCAACAACGGCAAGACAATGCGGCCATGTTGGCTGTAGCTCACTGGGAATGTGCGTAACAGGTTTTTGGTCTGATCTCTTTTGACTGATTGCTCTGCCTCTTGTGTGCATCAACCGGAGGTTCCCCTTAGCGAGCCAACTTTGGGTTTTCCGCTGGCCAGCAAAGCAAATGGCCGTGCCGGGGTGGTTTTCTCGGCCCGATGGTTTCCTTTATTCATCCTTTGCTCGAGCGAACCCTGAGGAACAAACCCACTTGTTAGGGGGGTCCCGGGGTGCACGTTAGGTGCCCCTGAAACAGGGGGACAATCCTTTCCAGGAAAACCAGGCCGAGAAATAACTGGGGGTGACTAATCAGGGGGCAACATTCCGGGTCAGTCTTTGGGCGTACCCTTTTGCATGGTAAGTGTAGAGTTGCTGAACAGTTGTGAAGTGACCGGGGGTATTTTGTTTGAGGATTGTTTCAAGAATCCCAAAGATAACCGAAGCCCATTTTGGGGTGTTCGCCCTATCCTATTTTGAGCCACATCCCCCAATATTGTGGCGCTTTGAAGTTTTAGTGGTTGGATTTCCGTGTAACCCGCTAAAAGTGTTCGACCTTTGGGAGATCTGATCAGCACAGACAACCCTCCCCCCGTCCGGCCTTCCGCGTCAGATTCCCGGATTTCTGGAAGGAGTTCCTGCAGGAGGCGGAGTCGCACCAGGCGAAAGAAATCCGATCGATTCGAGATGTCGGCCGATGTTTTTCGGGGGTCGGGTAGGCGTAGCCGCCCCACCGTTTTGGCGGAGGGGTCAAACGAAACAACGGGGAAAACCAAAAAGAGGGAAGGCCAAAGACAGAATCAGAACGGAAAACAAGAAACCTCGCACAATTGGTAAAGAAAGGTTTTGGAGGAGCCCCTAAAGAAGGGACACCAGGATGTTAGCGGAAGCATGTTGAAAGAGTCTTGGGCCCGACCTGCCCTTGGCCCCTCAGAAGGATACGGGAAGGTGCCTTGACCCGTTGGATAAGGTGCCATGTGGGTGGGAGGGTCCCAAAAAGTACCGATGCTGTTGGAAGGAATTGCCTGGGACTCACCACAATCAAAGCCCGGGTAAAATAGGGCGTAATTAAGGGATAGTCCCAACCATGAATAGGTGCCGCCGCCCTTTTCATTGCATCTTTTACATTGTTAAGCATGACTACTGTTGGCCTATTTCAGGTGAGTTTCCCTGCGTAGGGATTGTTTTTTAAGGGAAAGATAGGTTTAATACCAGTTTTTGGATTCTGACACGTCTAGGGGCTGATTCCCCATTCTTTTCAACCATCGTTCTTTTCAATAACCAGCCGTTTTCCCTGGGTTTCCGGAGGTTTTCTAGAAAGAAGGATCCCTGGAAAGAATGGGGAAGGTACCCTTAGAACACTGGTGAGGTTACACACCCCTGTCAGGACAGCTCTAGACAGAGGCCACCGCTTCTGCCGGAGTTTGCAGGAACATGTGGAGGGTGTGTCTCAGAACTCACATTTGCAGAATGTGTGTCTATTTTCAATTGTTGGTTTTAAAGAGAATATACCAAGGGACCTTTTTTCTAGGGGACCTAAGCAAATGCGGGTTGATCACTATTCCTGACCCCCAAATGACCACGGGTAACTTTTCCCAGTTAGTGGTTCAAGAGTCACCTTAGTGGTTTATCGGACCTTTTGATCGAGCCCCCGCATGCCCATTTTTGAGGGTTTTCTCTTTGGGGGGCCCCTGACAACCAAAGGAAATGGAGCATGATGCCAGGTCTCGCTTTCAATCCTTCGCTGTTCTTGAATCATGTTTTTAGTTTTTGTTTTGTTGTTTTTCCTTTGTTTTCCTTTTTTTTGCTCTGTTCATGTTTACCGGGGGTCTGCAAAAATCAAAGTTTTTTGCTACCATACCAAGAGTAGAGATGAATCTGCAGGTCACCAAGCTCCTCGTGGATGTCTCCGGGAACGCAGGTGGCTTTGTGGATTTGGCATACCTCTTCGTGCGCGCCTTGCGCCTCTGCCGATCTTGCGGATGTTGCGCTCGTGGTTGGCTTGGTTTGTCTTCTCTTGCTTTGTTGTTCCTTTTTTGTCTGGTTTTGTTGGAGCTATTTGGTTTGTACTTAATTAAAGGGGCAGGGTTCTTAGTAAGTGGTTAATGACCTAACCCACTTACCATGTTTATAAGTGTCCTAAGTGGGTTATAACCATCATGGATTACTTACCCCCCTTAAGGGGGGGGTCCCTATTTACCCTCTCACTAAGCTTGCTGAGAATGCCTGTTTTGCGGAATTGTGCATTTTAGACGCCGTTTTCCACCATGGGGGAGGATACGGAATCCATGAAACGAAAACGTGAGAAGGTGAGTAGGCAACAACCACCAATGTCACACATCTCAAGGCGTCGATTTGGGGCCTTACTAAGGCCTCAGCAATGCCTCAAACTCAACAAGGCTTCAGTAAGGCCTCAGTAGTGCCTCTCAAAATTGCTGGAAAGAGGCCATCTGCCGCATCTGATGTTCAGTTCCTATTGTAAAAAGCAAGCATAGTTTTCTTATACTTGGCAGCAACAAGTGTCCCCGGAGGCAAGGCAAAACTGGCTTGAGGTGCTACCGAGTGCTAAGTAAGCGCTGAGCAGCTAGTAAGGCCTTAGTAAATGGGGACCCATCTTAGGGGAGGGGGGGGGAAGCAATCCATGAAACCAGGCTTACTGTCCGCTTAATCCATGAAACCAGGCTTACTAACCGTTTACCAAGTACCTTGCCCCTTGAAGTAAGGTCGCCCATGGTTTCCACGCCTGGAGGTGAAAAACCCTTACCTATAGTGGTGACTGGATCTACTCCCTTTGGTGTCAGCCCAAAAAAGAGGTTCTTTTCGCCTCAAAGACGGTTGCCACATGCTTAAAGGGGCAGGGTGCCTGGTAAGTGGGTACCAACCATTGTTTTAACCCATTGAGGAGACTTACCACCACGGTACTTGGCTTACAACCAGGTTTACTACCCACCCACCTGACTCACCCGATCGCCTCGATCGCCCCCTTTTTGAGAGTGGTTGCAACCTACCCACCCACCTGGCGTACCGAATCGACCGCCTCTTTGAGTGGTTGCCACCCCTTTTTGGCCGCGCAAAAAAAGAAAACACAGAAAACAAAAACACGAAACACCCACCGCCCGAGCCGGCCGCTGACCTCCCGAGCCCCCCCCACGGGCCGGCCTCACCTCCCCCACCTCCCCCCCCCACCTCCCCCCCCCCCCTTCCTCCCCCCCCCCCCCTTCCCCCCCCCCCCCCCCTTCCCCCCCCCCCCTTCCCCCCCCTCCCCCCCCCCTCCGCCCCCACCCCCCCTCCCCCCCCACCTCCCCCCCACCTCCCCCCCACCTCCCCCACAACCCACCTCCCCCCCACCTCCCCCCCCAACCCACCTCCCCCCCACCTCCCCACCCCTCACCTCCCCCCCCACTCCCCCAGAAGGAGGTTCAGCCCGGCTGACCGGGAGGTTCCCGCTGCTGGAGTTCCCGGTGCTCTGCAACGAGTACGACCGCCCCGTCGGCAGCCTCTTCGAAGCCTGGCGGAAGGCCGCCGGTGGAGCCCGCGCCCGGTGTGTTGCCCTTTGGTTTGGGAAGGGTTCCTTGGGTCCTTTCAACTCAACGTAAAAAAAGGGATGCCCGGTTTGGAACCTAGTTGCGCCAGCGGATTCCGCCCTTCTCCGGCTGGAAGGGGCGCGGAGAGAAGCCACAAATCCCAGTTGCCCAGGGGAGTTGCTTCCTTGTTTCAACTTTTTTTTGGCGGAAGGGTTCCTTGGTTCCCCTTCAAACTCAACGAAGTAAAAAGGATGCCCGGTCTTTAACCCATGGAAATCCTCTGGGCATTTGAGAAGGGGTACCTCACGGTAAGTGGTGAGGAAGTAAAGGGGCACTCGGATGGGATTGGGGTTGGGGGGGAGGTGTTATTCTGAGAGGGGGCACAATACCTCAGGTATGTGGTGAGGAATCATGGTTCTGAACCGCGAAAGCCAGTCCTTTGTTCCAAGTGGGTTATCTCACCATGGTTATTCCCGTACCCGATCGCCCTTTTTGGTGGACTCCCCACCTTGCCATGGCACCTGACGGGGAAATGGCCAGAGGAAGTTGACCCAGGTATGTTAGTCGGAGCAGGGTACCCGTGTTTTGTTGTGGTTTGAGAGGGAAGCCAAAAGGACACCTTCAAGCCATTTTGTGTGTAGCAGCAAGGGGATTCAGGTACCCGATTCAGGCAGGCCACCATAAAATCAATGGTTAGGTTCATGTGTGTGTGTGCCATCCTTTCTGTGGATGGACGAAATTCATTTCGCACCTTCAAAATGGCTCGACGCGCACAATGAACCTATTTGATACTGTGGCTGGTTACGAAGTCTGTTTCGGAAAGCCCCTTTTGTCCCTGCGTGGGCATCACAGATGGCTTGTTTCCTGTTGGTCAAACCCAGTAGAACCATAACAAAAACGGCTCTACCAATTTTCCTGGGAAAATTTGGGTGCCTCCAAGAATCCCAAACAAAGGTTTTGAGAGACCCCTTCTACCGTGTGCTTTGCCTTTCCCTTGAAAACCCTCCCGAATTTGTTTTTGTCCTTACCATTTGGAGAACGTCCCCGAACACCACAAGAACTGGGTTTTGAGAAAAACGGAATCCCCAAACTGGCACCAACCGGTAAATGGAACGAAAGACTAAAATAACTTTTCCCATCTAGTGGTTGACATTTGTTTTTGTGGTTTCCCTAATGGTCACCCCACGTAAAGGACATATACCAGCGTTTTTGCGTTTTTTTTCTTCTCCAGGGGACTTCAGAAAAATGGTTGGGTTGATCAATTCCTTGCCCCAAACTGACCATGGGTAACTTTTCCCATGTGGTTGAAACATCACGGACTTGCGGTTCAACTCGAGGGTTCATTTTCCAGGTTCCCTCCCGCAGGTATGTTAGTGGCAGGAAGGGTAGAACCTATGAGAATGCTGTTCAAAAAGGGCGTTGGACCGTTTGTGAACCATGAAAAAGAGAACATCAAGGGCAATGGGTTCCCACAGTGCCCTTCCTTCTTTGATAAAACTGCTCCTACCACAGAAACACACCAACCTTGCCCCTCTGCGGCTTTGCCCTAGCTGTTCAATGTTCAGGCCCGGAAGCAATTTTTGCTACTTAAAGGGGCGATCGGGCACGTAGGTGGTTAGCAAGCCCGGTTATAGCCCACTGAGGAGACTTATAATCATAAGTGGGTTATGACCATGGTGATTACCCACTTACTAGGTACCCCATCGCCCCTTCAAATACCCTCCCAACACGGAACTGGCCCCTTCAAGAGGAAATAAATGTCTTCCAGGTACCCAGAGATGCTTGTTAGAGGGAAGCCAAAAGGACCCGATTCAGGCAGGCCACCATGAAACCAATGGTTGGGTTCATGTGTGTGTGTGTGTGTGTTTTGTTTTTTTGAGGTTGCCCTTTAGTGGGAGGAACTGGGGTCATTACTTTGACTGCTTTGATTGGGTTATCAAAGTCAGCTGGGGGTGTTTCCCTCCAACCAAAAACTTAGGAGGTGACTTTAGTGGTAATGTTGACCCAGGATTAATAAACCCGTCCCACTATTGGGGGGGGGTGATGAACCCCCACTAAAAGGGGACACCCCCCTATTAATCAACCAGGGGTTTATTAATCCGGGGTTAACATTAAAGGCATGGGGCCTGAGGACGGCCCCTTCATGAGAGGTGAACATCACCCCGCTGGTGAGCTTCCTGAAGAGCCCCGGTGCCTCCGCGGCGCGGGTGAAGAACCTCACCAGCGCGAAGCAGCGGGAGCTCGAGGCGCTCCTGCGCCTCGGCGCGGAGAAGAGTTGAGAAGAAGAGTTGCTGAATGAATGGGGAGAGCCCCTATTTTGAGGGTTCTGTTTGTTGGCATTTACAGGAGAACCATCATTCCAGGGTTTCTTAGGTGGTGCAGGATTCCGTCCATCCACAGTATTTTGAGGGTTCCCCTATTTCGGTCTGCCTTTTTTTGCGGGGTACCCCTTGTTCTTTCAGGGGAATCAAAGGGTTAAGCCACACCTTCCTGCGGCTCCGATTCCTAAACTAGGTGTTCCAGCTAGGTGCCCGACCTCTCACCGTTTCTTTTTTGGTTGGGAGATTCGGTTCCACTACAAGAATAGACAGAAAAAGGGGTGCCCTTCTTCTATCCTCTCAAATCTGGACCTAGGAAGCATGGGGAGAAGGTTAGCCTCAGGGGTCCTAGGGAACCCAAGTTAGATCTGAGCCAAAGTCGCCGACTCGGACGTTTTTTTTTTTTCCTTTTGTCTCGGACTTGGTCTCCTTCGCGCCGGTTTCGCGAAAAACAACATGCGCTTCCGTGCTTCTTGGGGGGAGTGGGGAGTGGTCCAAGGGGAGGCGAAGAAATCCACAGTTTCTTGAGCTCCAAATCCTCACAGCCGAGTCGGGTAGATGAAGGTTGGGGAGAATTCTTCCCTTGCCACTTGGTGGCTCCCGGCCGTCTAGTTCCCAAGCTCTTGGCTTTTTCGTTGGTGCAGTGGTTGGGTTTCCAAACTGAACCCACTCGTTAAACTTGAGCAGCGATCAGTTTCTTCACAGTCATGAGTATGGTATTGTTTCCCCGGTTACTTTTGAAGGGAACCTATCGCTACTGGCAATATTTTATTTTGTTCATCCGACTCAAGCAAATGGAAGTGATGGAATGGGTTGCTTCAGTTCCTCAGAAAACATTCTATGTTAATGATGCTTGGTCAATCTGTATGCCCAATGGCTTGACAACAAACAGTTTTCACCGGATTTCCAGCAAGATCACCGGACAGGGTGATCGGGTTTAAGAAATCCTTCCCAGATCTGCGGGTCGCTTCCTTTTTTTCAACTCTTTTTTGGAGCGGAACTCCTTTAAAATCAAGCACCTGCAAAGAGTGCCACTTCTTTTTCCAATGGAAATCCACTGAGGAAAGAAAGGGAGATTCAACGCCCCTGACAGTGTGATGACGTGATGTGGGTCTGTGTGTGGGTGTGTGCGTGCGTGTGCGTGTGCGTGTGCGTGTGCGTGTGCGTGTGCGTGTGCGTGCGTGTGTGTGTGCGTGTGTGTGCGTGTGTGTGTGTGCGTGTGTGTGTGTGTGTGTGTGTGTGTGTGTGTGTGTGTGTGTGTGTGTGTTTTTTGAGGCTCCTTTTTGGGTCTGTCGGGACCACCTATTTTGACACACAGGTGCACCGACGGGTTGATTCCATTTGAGCCGCATGCTCAAAACGAGGGTTAGTACCGGAATCATCCCCACCATAAATTGGCGTGGTTACCCGCCCTTTTGACTCTTGACATGTTTTTGCGTGCCAGGCTTTGATTGTGACTCAGGCCCGCAGCCCAAAAAGAAACAAATGAGCGACCTCAGAAAAAGGCACACTAGTCACTCATCCCAGTGTCGGTTTCACGATTGCTTACACAACCACCCCCTGACCCCCTGAGGGAAATCATCAGGATGTTATTTGAGTGTGTGGTTTTAAAGGAAAGAACAGGGAAAACCACGATATTGGTGGGCCACCTTAAAAAAGACACCCTCTTTTATTTGAGAGTGTTCGAAGAACGTGCTGCCCAAACCTGCCGGTTTGTTGGAGCTCCCAATTCAAACCTGGGCCGCCGGACTAGCATGTGCGCGGATGGCATCTTGCATGGGTCTTCCAAGACACCAGCTCATTGATTCCATCACCTTTGATTTGGCTGTGGGTCAAAAATAGGGTAACCCCAAAATGGCTTGCCCTGGTAAATGGACACGTGGACTAAAACCTGCGGTCCAATTCCTGGTGGTTCAATTTTGACCCGTGCCCATTTCATCACCGGCTCCATCACCATTGAATCCATCACCGTTGATACTGTGGGAGGTAACGCGCTTGGAAGCCACGATGTCAAGCAACTTGTCACCGAAAGCAATCCTCGAATAGTAGGAACGCCCTTCGAAACCTTGGCGAATAAACTGCAATGCGGATCTGGCTATACTCCCCTGCAGGTTAACGTAGAATAGGGCCACCAAACAAAGCTCCACATCCATTTCACACCCAAAATAGCCTGCGTGTCTACTGCGGATGCGCGAAATACTTTGAAACCATGGTTGTTGCTTGGTATTTACCTTGGGGAATCGAATCAGAAACCAGGGTTTCTGAACGGTGGTGCGATTTTGCTGGATTTCGCAACCATCCACACCCGCCAGTGGTTGTTCTACCCAGGGTGACAAGTTATAACCCACAAAAGCCATGGTTTTGTTCGTCTCCAGGGTGATGTCCTTTTGGTTTCCCTTTAAACCAAACAAAGCTCCACATCTATTTCACACCCAAAATCACCTGTGTCAAATAAATCGGTGAAGCCCCCCAAAAAGGGTGGGCTCATTTTTGGCTTCCCTTCAACCCACCGCCGCCGCCCAAAGCATCGCTTCCAAGCCAACGCTTCCGAGGCACGGAGTCACCAGGGCCTGCATCGCGCTGGACGTGCTGAGCTACGATGACTTCATGCTGGTGCAAGAAGCCGTGGACGCTCCGCCCAGCCGTTTACTTCTTCCTTTTTTTTGGGAATGAACCGGGTGTTGGGATTCTCTTAAAGGAAACCATAGGATGGATGATTTGCAGGGGCCATGCCATTTGTCGTTGCCTGCTGAGAACCAGCAAGTTCTACTGTAAAGGGGGGGGGCCTGGAGGGGAACCGCAGCTGAAAGTGCTTACAGGGGAGGAGTCAGAGTGCTTTTCCATTGAAATGAAGCTGTCTTATTTTCGCAGGGTTTTAAAGGGAATTTGTCACTGCACATAGTTTCATGGTTTTTTGCAGGTGACAAAAACAGCGACTGGAGGATAGTTGAGGTGGCAGGGAAGACCTGGATGTCGACAGATGTGGCTTTCCCGTTGGTTTCCCTTCAAAATAACAAACGGGGCACCCTCAAAAAAGACAGAACATGTTGAGGATGTCTTGTGAAATGGCCACATTTTGTGGCAGCAAAGCGTCTTCCAGGATCTCCGCCCCCCCCCCGCCAGGTTCCATGTTTGTTTTTGGGCGGGTAAGCCAGCAAAACCCCAAGCAGTTTCACTGTGGTGTTTTTTTTCCATCAGGAATCCCAATAAAACAAGTCGTAACTTTGATCTACCTCATCTTTTCAGTTTGCACGGAGCCTCAACAACACTTTGTTTCCCTTCTGGTGCTTTTTTTTCAGGGCAGCCTGGAGATGAACTATGGAACCCACAAAGAGGTTTCCCAACACGATTCCAGGAAGGGAAGCGTTGATCTGGATCTGCCGCATCTTTTCAGCTTCCGAGCGGCTCGGCTTTTTTGTTCGCCGGAATTGAAGGTGAACCACGTGCTCAAAACCGATTCGGGTAGATGAAGGTTAAGGGACACCCCTTGCCATAAATGGCTGTGGGTCAAAACGCATGGTACCATTTTGGGGTAGGTGCACCACCCATTTTAGTCTATTTTAGTGGGGATTGGGATGTTAACTGGGGGTACGGGATTTTGACCCATGGCCAAATAGCTGCGAATATCCGCCTTCTTAATTCTTAAAGCATGGTTCTGGGTGGACCATTTGAATACAAATCGGCGAAGCCCCCTCCAAAAAAGATGGATTTCACCGGATTTCGCAGCCACCCATTTTGCCTTCTTTTGCCCCTCACCCAAAAAAGGGATGCATCGCCGTTTTTGCCCCCCTCAAGCATGCGGATCAGGATACTCTGGAGCTGGGGGAGATGGATGCGGACACCTTGCAGCAGACGGTCAAGGCGGTCTCCAAACCAAAAATCTGTTTTAGATGTTGGAATAGACCACAGACTACGTGACAGAGTCAGAGCATGTTTTCCATGTGCCAAAGCGATTTTTTTGATTTTTCTACAATGCCAAGTATGGAACCCCTGCGGTTCAAACAACCACTAACACAATGAGGGTCATACAACCACCATTGTTTCCCTAAGGATTGTCATCCAAATTGGGTCAAACACTCTTTTCATGGGAATCGGTTGATTAGAAGGGGGGGTTGGTTTCCGCCGTCTGAATCTTCCATTTGGTTCTTCGACCCCTGACTTCCATTTGCTTAAGCACCCTGGAAAAAGCAAAGGGTCTTTTACATGACCATCAGGGAAAACCACCAAAAAGATTTGATATGTCCAAATGAGGAAGGTTACCCATGGTCAAAACTGAGGGCCCGAATAATATTGACAGGGTTTGCCTTTTCCACTGAAATGAACCGCCTCCCTGGAAAAGGGTTTCTACACTACCAGGGGGCCTGCAAATTCATCCCACTGTGGAGAAGGCAAACCATGGGTACATTGAACATCTCAAATATGTCCCTGGGCTACCAATTCCCCAGTTTAGCTCTACCCGAACTGGCGGACATCACAAATTCGGGAAGAAAGATGTCCATTCCTAACCACTGCTTAGCCCTGGAGTTGGATTTGACCTTACCCTTGATCCTTAGACCCCCCCGGCCGAAAACCCCCGCGAGGTGCTCTCGGAGTCCGCCGCCAGCTTCGGGAACCCTTTCACCCTGCCCCTCTGATCCGATGAGATGCTGCGGATGCTTTGCGCGGACGCGGAAGTTTTTCGGTTGATTGTCAAACGACTCATTTTGGGTCGCGGCCAATGTCAACGTACGAATGGGAACCCGGATTCACAAACTTTTAGGGTTCAAACCCGTATATGAACACCCAGTAGACTTAGTGGTGATTTGAGTCCCAGGGTTAATGGGAACACGGATTAGTGAACCCCTGAAACCCAGGTTGTAAAGGAAAAAAGAAGAGAAAAGTCAAAGCACCCTGAAAAGAGACGGACCCAAATGTACTCGCGCTCGCGCCCCGTGCGTGTGTGTGGTGTGTGTGTAAATGGGGCTTTGGGCCAGCAAGTTTGCAAGGAGTCACTCTACTCGTCCAGCGGATTCCTTAAGACAACAACTTGGGCAGGGCTCCTTAAAAGATCTCCATTTTGCAACCAATTGAAACATGGCTTTTCCGCCAAAATAAAGGGAATCCACCATTTACAAGGCAATGTTCAGGAGTATAATGTATGGATCCCTGTTGGGAGTTATACGGCGCGCAGTGGGAAGTCCCCTGTAACCTGTGCAATCCACAACTTGCCCATATTAATCATGTACTCTTTGAATGGTGCTAGGTCCCAAGTTAGGTGCCCTTTTACCGTTTCTTTTTGGGGGAGGGCTCCCCTACTACTGTAAAATTGCAGAACAAAAGTTGGTATGATTGTAACCTCTCAAATCTGGAGGACCTAGACACGCAGACAGCGCGAGGTATCTCACCGCGTTCTCCGCGGAGGGCCAAGTCTTCAACCCTTTCGAGGAGACCAGGTTCCGACGCCGGGGGGGCCAGGAGAACGTGGAGCTGAGCGCTCTCTTCCACGTGGAGGATTGCACCTGGGCGTAATCAAGGCGCTTGGGGAAAAGACGGACAGCTGGGGGTGTCGTTTTTGGTTGAGGGATTCATTTTTTGGGGTTGGGTTAAAGGGAACCCCACAAAAAAACATCATGTTGGGGGTTCCTAGACACACCCAGTTGCACATTAGATATTTACTTGCTCATTCTCTTGTGATCATGACTTGGTGGTTGATCAAATGGTCCTTTACATGCGCTGACAAATATGGGAAGCCACCAAAAAAGATGAAAAGTTACCCATGGTCATGCCAGGAATATTGATCAACCCCCGCTGAATTTGGATCTTTGACGTGCCCCACACCCCCATTTTGGGGCTCGTACAGCTCCCGAGGTGTGGCAGTGTACACCAAGCAGTTTGTGGATGCGCTGGCCGGGGTGAAGAATCCTTTCAAGGACCGCGGATCGCAAAAGGGAAGGGGCGCGGGGGGGGGGGGGGGGGGGGGGCGGGGGGCGAGTGGACACGGGGGGTCGTTTTTTTTGCAACCACCTTCTTTCGGGCATTGAGTGGTGTATTGTGCCTCTGGGCATTGGGTAGCCCGTTTTTGCAACCACATTGCGGGTATTGACTTGCTGGTTGCGAGAGATGCGGGGAATGATGAATGGAATGGCCCTTATAAACCTTTAAGGGAATCCCCAGGTTCGAGCATCCCGCTCCAAAGTGGTTGGCGGACATGGATTTTCACGGAATTCCCCGAATTTTGATGTCCACCAAGGGTTCCTAATTAAGATTCATAGCCATATACATCTGCTTTTGTAGTTGCAAAAGTTGAAACATGTATGTTGTGATGAACATAAATCTGGCCAGATACATACCCACCTTGACAAACACACCGCCAGGGAGGTGCCTCAAGAGACGCCGGTGCCCACACCCTTTGACATCCGAACAAAGAACATCAAGCGAGACTCCCCAGAAGTAGCTCCCCTTTTTGCTTTGTTGCTTTTTTGGTGTCCCTTTGTCTTCCACTAACCAGCAAGAAAGATAATTTTTGCTGGGGTCCTAATTCCAGCCTAGGAGAGGGATAGCCCGCATAAAAGACACATCGCCGACACATCTCTCTGACTCTCTCTCTCTCTCTCTCTCTAGCTCCTTCTGTGACTCTCTCCGACTCTCTCTGACTCTCTCTGTCTCCCTCTCTTCCCTCGCGCTGCCTCTCCCTCTCCCTCTCCCTCTTCTTCTCCTCTGCCTCTCCCTCTCCCTTTCCCTCTCCCTTTCCCTCTCCCTCTCTCTCCCTAGACACACATTGAACAAACATATAGGACACATCACACATCCTTCCGTACTTCGGTGCATACATATATGCTTCTATATGAATGTATGAATATATGAATATATGAATATATGAATATATATCTATATGTTCCAGTCCCCAGGCCACCAACCCCCCCCCCCCAAGGGTCACCCCCCCACCCCGCCCAACCCCGGAGCACCCGCATCCCACCCCGCTGCTACGGTCCCGACAACTCAACCAACCCTAAACCAATCCTACACCCCTAACCCTTCACCCGAACCCTAAACCAACCCTAAACCAACCAGAAGCCAACCCTAAGCCAACCCTAAGCCAACCCAAACCAACCCAACACCCACCTAAACCCACTGTAAATCAACCCTTAACCAACCCTTAACCAACCCCAACCAACCCTAAACTAACCCTATTCCCAGCCTAAACCCACCCTAAACCAACCCTAAGCAAACCCCACGCCAACCCTAAACCAACCCTATACCCACCCTAAACCAACCTTAAGCAAGCCCCAAGCCAACCCTAAACCAACCCTATACCCACCCTAAACCAACCCCAAGCAAACCCAAACCACACCCTAACCACTCACCTAACCACCCAACCCCACCCTCCCACCCACCCCCCCACCCCACCCCCACCCCACCCCCACAGCAGAGGGGGAGGCTCCACGGCCTGGAACATATGTATGTATATATATATATACATGCATATATGTGTATACACGTACATGTAGAGAACGGACACAAACCCACAGATGGCATACCACCCTCTCCTGCATACATATCTGGAACGGAGCCGAGCTTATGTTTTCCCTTTTCGTGGGACGCTAAGCGTATTCTAATAAACGGATTCTGATTGTAACAAGAGTGTCGTTTGTTTCTCGTACCCGCAAAGGAAACCATTTGTCCCACGGCTGCCAATGGTTTTCCTTTTAACTTCACTTTAAACCTACCCCGAAAAGGGGTGCCAACTCAAAAAAGACACCCACATCCACCCTCTCCCCTGGTTTGTAAATAGGGAAACCAAAAGGAACACAACCATTTATGGGGACCCCAACTGGCCATGGTTCAAAACCAATGCTACCATTTTGGGATAGGTGCATTTTAGAACCTGTTTTAGTGGTTGGATTGGGATGTTCACTGGGGGTACGTGGTTTCGACCCATGGCCAACTAAAGCACGAGCCAACCATTTGGGCCAAATCACAAACAGGCCATGCGCGAAACATTCTGACACGCTTCCAAGAACTCTTTTCTGGGGTCTTCAAGACTTTCCTATGCATTAGGGATTTTGACCCACATCCATTTGTCACCAGACGGGGTTTTGACCCATGGCCAACCAAAAAAGGAACACCACCATTTCTGGGGACCTCAACCAAAAAAAGAGCCACCCATTTGGCTGTGGGGTCAATACCAATGGTACCATTTTGGTTGGTAGGTGCTCCCTCCCCATTTTAGTTGTTTTTAGTGGGATGTTCACTGGGGGTATGGGGTTTTGACCGAAGGGGCCAACTAAAAAACGAGCCGCCCATTGGTCAGGACATCCTCTTCCTCTCTGACGGGCTTTGCGGCTCGAGCTGCGACACTGCTGCGCGCACCGCCTACATGCTGTCGCAGCAGCTGGCGGTGGAAGAAGGCACCCCGAAGGCGCGAATGGCGTTCGAAGCCACCAAAGTTCCTGGTTTGTTCTTGACCAATCCAAACAATTGGCTTCCATTTGCTGAAATGATTTTTCGTGTGTTTCCCCTTGTTGGTGTTGAAAGGAACTTATCACTACTGGAAATATTTTTCCCAGGGGTCTTAACCAAATGAAAGTTGGGTGTGTCTTTTTTAAGGGACCCCCCCCCCAACAAAAAATGGATTTTGATTTTTCCTTTTGATTTCCCTTTAAATTTACAAAAATAGTGGTATCTCCACAACAAGACACCCAAGTCTACCCTCTTCCTGGTTTTAAAAGGTGAACCGGTGGCAACTGCCGGAATCCTAGGGCTACCATATTGAAACAACCATTGTTTGCCGTTCAGGATTGGTAACATCTACATTGGGTCCCCAGGCCATTCTCTTCGTGCGAATCGGTTGAACCCTGGACATACTGAAACTCGAGGGATGTAGACAAGCAAAATCAAAACCCGAGTACATGAAGGTTAGCAAGGGGCAGTCCCAGCCAGAAATAGTTGCGGCCGCCTTCTTAAGTGACTCAATTTGGTCTCCAAAAGCTGTAAGGGGCGATTCGGTCACACCAATGACCAGCCATGCCGGCAAATGCCCCGTAGACCACCGACCAAAACAGACTGCCCTGTCTGGTTTGCTGAAATCTTGACTTGCTGGTGCGATGGGCAGGAAATGAGGAATGGAATGAACCCAGGCTTTGGTCCCCTTAAAGGAAACCACCATTCCCTGCCTTCCCTACCTATAGCACCAGCAAGAAAAAGGGTACAGACAAAAAAAATCGATGGGTGGCGCGTCTTGTTTGAGGCTACTTGGGTATTCGATTCGCCAAGTTAGAAAGTGGTTGGGAACCGTTCGGTTGTAACCCGCTTCTGAGGCCCCTAAGTGGAGTTAACGGTAGTGGGTTAATACCCAGGTGGCTACCCACTTAACTTGGCAACGAACATCCAAGTCCAACGAAGGAATTTCTGGGAATGGAAGCTTCCCCTAGAAAGGCCATGTTGCCATGCAACTGGAGCCACAATCAATCCCCGGTATTAAAATGGTCTACCGAAACGTAAAGAATTGAACAGGCGCACCTAATTCTGGCTAGGATTGTCCCTTGCCCTCCAATTACCCGGGTTTTGATTGTGTTTGTCAAAGGGAAGGTGCAAAAAAAGGCCATGTTTCCATTCATTAAGCCAATCAGCTTCAAAAGAAGGGTGCCAACTCCAAAAAAAGGGGCTACAGTTTTCTTTCCCACAAAGACGGGTGGATTTTCATCCGAGAGTTCTAGGTGTAGCATCCGACAAGATCTCTACATGAGCATTACACAAAAGTTTGTTTGTTAACATCCTGTCGACAAGTGAAGCACAACTTCCATTTGCTTAAGATGTTCTTTTCTCTCTTTTTTTTCCCTTGTTGGTTTTAAAGGGAATCTATCACTACTGGATATATGTTATTTTTTCCCCGGCGACTTAAGCAAATGGAAGAAAGACCTTCCCAGTGATTCCATGTCATGTAGCTATACAGTAGGTGACCAAGGGCTTGCCACCCTTTCAGCCCAAATGGAGAATGGCGAAGGAGTACCTACAATGGTACCTGCGAGCCACTGGGCTTCAGGGAACCAGATGGAAGAGAAGGTACCCCCTTCAACAGGGCTCCTGAAAAGATCTCCATTTTGCGAGCACACCGAAATAAAGATGGACACCACCACTTACAAGTTGTAATGTTCAGGTGTATAATGCAAGGATCCCCCTTCAAAGGTTCCCCAAAATACCAATCAATTGGTTCCACTGGAAGTTCTTGACAAACGCTTTAAGCAAATGGAAAATCCGGGGTAGGCGCCCTGACCCCAGGTGAGCCACAATCAAAACCCGGGTAGATGAAGGTTGGTAAGGGACAATCCCCTTGCCATAAATAGCTGCGAATATCCGCCTTCTTAATTCTTGAAGCATGGTTCTGGGTCGACCATTTTCATACCGGGTTTTGACTTGCTGGTGCTCAGGGAATGAGGGAATGACGTGGAATGACCCGAGTGACCCCAAAAAATGAGGGAACGACCCTGGGAATACGGGAGGGTTTTGACTCTGACTCATTTGGCTGTGGCTCAGAACCCATGGTTCCATTTTGGGGTTTTCGGTGCATTCACCATCCAGGTTAGGACCTATTTTAGTGGTTGGATTGAAAATGTCAAACACTTAAAATAATATATATATATATATATATACACATTCTCCATATGGAACATCTATATATGGAAAATCCGGGGCCGGGGTGCCCTGATAGGTGCGGTTCGCAGCCTTCGGCGGCCTGGGCGGCACCGCGGCGGAGGCCAGGCGGACGCTCTCCGCCACCTCCTTCCCGGGGGGCAACGTGATGTCCTCCGCCATGGGGCTGCTGTACAACCCGGTGCGCCTCGGAAAAATACATATGTATATATATATATATGTATATATAAATAAATATTCATATTTATTGGAGAAAAATACAAAATCAGCACATGATGAAGAAGAATCAGCAACAAATCGAGGGATCATAGGTGTCCTTTTTGGTCTCCACCCCCCCACACTTTTCCGCCTAGTTATAACTCTTACCATGGTTATTGGTCTCAGTGGGTTACAACAGGCTTACTAACCACGTACTCAGCACCCTGCCCCTTTAAGAGTATTGCAAGATGCAGAAGCATAGGTGTTCTTTTTTGGTTGATTTGGCAGAAAAACAGATGGCGACTCCTGGTTTACCAGGTGATTTCCCCTAAAGGACACCTATGATGGGGACTTCACTTGGTTTGACATGGTTTTGCCTCCTTGAAGGTCAACTAAGATTTGGATTGGCCTCCTGTTGATTGGTTTCCTCCAAGGAACATATGTCTGTGGGTCGAAACTGTTTTGGGGTCCCATTTTGGGGTTTTCGGTGAATTCACCACCCGTTTTAGAACCTATTTTAGTGGTTGGAGTGGTTGATGTTCACTGGGGGTACGATTTGGATTTTGACCCAGCTAGGTGCCCTGGTCTTCTAGGTCCCCCAGCGGAAGGGTGCCCTTCTCCACCGTTTCTTTGTTGGTTGGGAGATTCGGTTCCCCTGCTAAAACAGACTACGGAAGAAAGGGCACCTATTCTAACCTCTGTAAAACAAGAGCCTTGAAAACAAGGGGGATTTCACTTGAGCCACGTGCTCAAAACCGATTCAGGTAGATGAAGGTTAGTAAGTGTTTTTGGGGGCATGTAGTTTTATCATAGCATGTTTCCATGCCACGGCCAATGCGCCGTTTGGCTCAAGCTTTTGCAAGCGGCAACTGACGTTTGCCATTTCGTCGCCAGCGCCAACGGCGCGGACACCATCTCGCACACGGAAAAGGTGCGGGCCGGCAGCGCCGCGGTTGGCCTCCTGGTGGAGGTGGGTCATTCGTTTGGTTGGTTTGTTGCATCTGGTTTGCTTTGCTCGCTCGCTGCGCTTCGCTTTGCTTGCTTGCTTGGTTTGGTGCTGTTGCTCGTGCGCTTGTTGCGCTGCTTGCCCTTGCTGGGTTCTTTCTTCTGTTTGTTAAACTGGCAACCCTTTTGGTTCGTGTTTGTGCCGGCCGAGGGCAACCGCTTTGCCCTTGGGACCGGGGGGATAAGGTGGTCTCTTCTTGTTGGTGGGTTAGGGCCTGTTTTATCCATCCCGAAACTCTGTTTCAAACCCTTTCGCAGGTTATCAGCCGTAGGATTCGTCCTCGGTTGGCACCGCGAACCCCTTTTAATAACAACCCTGCAGGTACCGTAGGTCTCTGTAGGCGTCATGTCGGGAATCACTGAGGACGGACCTCATGTGGTGACTGACGAATGGGTTCTCGGCCAGGCCGGAATCTTGGACGTTGTGAATGACGACCAAGTGCCCGGACAGCCGATGTTTTCCGGTCCTGACTTTTTGTCGGACCACACTTTTTCAGAAGCAATGCCTTCAGGAAGGTCCAGTGCTACTCGCACTGATGACCTATCGTCTAATGCCTCAAGAGCTAATCGCTCTCAGGGTCATGGGGCTAATCGTCCTGACCATGATGATTTCGTCTCAGGACGTGATGATGACGAGCCCGGTATTGCACCTGGAGCTCAATCCTCATCTTTCCCGGAGCTGATGAATATTGGTCAGTCCGAGTTTCGTGACTCTCGAGGTAGCAGTAGACCTGTGCCAACCAGTGGCATAGCTTTTCAAGTGCTCGGTAATCCCGAACCTGGTACATCGAGTGGAGTTGCATTTGATGTTCATCTGCCGACCGAGTCCGGTGGGCTCGATTGGAGAGCCTCATGGCCCAACGACGGAAACATTTTTGGTATGGAGTTTGCCGCATGGATGCCAGGGCCACCCGCCCCGTCATCCTTCCCGCAATTCCAAAGCCCAAAACGGGCTGCTGGAAGCGATGAATTCATGCTACCTTTGTCGATTGAGAATCTCAATCCTGACGTGGCCAGTCGTAACGTCAGGCCAAGGCCGTCGGTAAACCCGACCATGAGGAACATGTCCCCTCCCCCAGGACTTTCAGGATTTGAGAGCCCTAGGGAGCGTAATATCGTAGATAGATTGGATTTGCATCCCAGTCCAACCCCAAGCAAACGATCAAGGTCAAATTCGACTGGATCGCATAGGGCAAGGGGGATGGATCGGGAAACTGCCCACAGGGGTAACCCCAGTGCGCGGGACTCAGGACGCGGTCGATCAGGTGATCCAGCGTCGATCGTTGGTAGAGACCCGTTAAACGCGGACACACTCGTTAACGTGCTTGATGGGATCGAAGCATTCCAGGAGGAATTTAATAGGTCAAGTGGCTTGAATGCCCAAGGTGTTCGCCCTACGCCCAATGCGGCTTCCATTTTCGCTCTGGACGACATGGACGGAACTAATGTTCCGATAGAATCTGAGTCCATGATGGCATCAAGTTCCAGTCGCAATCATACTATCAGTAATGCGACTGATATTGAGTCGATGTCTGAATCTAGAGTGTCCAATGCCACCGACTTGAATGACATTGTTGTTGCTGACTCGAGACCTGATGTTCCTATGCGGATGGATAGGCCTGTTGTTCCTAAACTGCCCGTGGCCAAAGGCCTGGGCGTGACACAACACTCTGCGGTTCGTGATGCTAGGAGATCTGCTCCGTATCAGAGTCAATCTCCTAATCGGAGTGAGTTTCCACGGCCATCAACGGCCGTGCAGGATGATTTCAGAACTCCTCCGAGATCTAATCCAATCATGGTTGATTTGTCCACTCCTCGAGATCGCGGATCAGGATTTGGTCCTACGAGTGAGGAGCAACCCAACGAGGTTGCTGATCTTGTAACAGCCCTTGAAGGAGGGAGAGTGGACTCTTCGGTAAGTGCGATTATTCATCGCCTGGTTGCTAAGGTCGAAGACCTTGGTCGTAGGAATGATAGAAGTGATCAATGCATCAAGCAGCTCTCCACTGAGGTTAGCTTGTGGAGGGCCAAATACGACCAATGCGTCCATATGAGTGGCACGTGTACGCAGGCTGCGAACGCGGCCATGCAGCTATCACAAGGGACTAAGGACATCGTGACCGAGCTTGGCCAACGCGTCAAGATCGTTGCCGATCGCATGATAAGCATAGGCGATGCCCTAAACGAGCGAGCCAGCTACGATGATGTTGCTCGCTCCATCACCCAGGTTCAAACTGTTTTTGAATCTCTCTCTGATCGAGTAACCGGGCTTATAGCTCGTGTTGATATGATCGAGAGATCTCTAGTGGAGAGCCAATCCAACCATCCTGCAATTGGTGGGGTAAACCTCAAAATCGAGGACCTGTCCACTAGGGTATGTCAGATTGATAGGATGATGCAAGATGTCGAACAACGCTGGACCAATAATAGGGACGGCATAAAGTGGGTTAAAGACCAACTTTATGAGACACAAGCCAACCTTGAGATGAAGTCAAGGGACTGCAAGTCCTACACGGACAAGCAAAATACTCATAACATGGCCGTTTCGACTACGCTCAACAGTAAGCTCGAGCAAATGCTCGAGGTGCTGGGTAATACGGCCCAGAGAATCAGCTCCATCGAGTCAAGGCACTCGAACCAGGCCTCAAGTAGTGGATTGAACGATCACACAGGAGGAAGGCGAGCCGCGTCCCGTACTCCGGATAAGCGGCCACCTCCACCTGGCCCTCCTGATGGTGATCCTCCACCACCTCCTCCTCCAGATTGGCAAAACCCAGGAGGAGGGGGGAAGAAGAGTGCTGCCGGTGGGAACCCTGGCAACCCTGGTAAACCCAGATGTAAATATGTAGGTGATGGATATAAGCATCTCATGGCTGAGTTTCACTGCAAGGGATGCAGAGGTGATATTTGTGAGTATTGTTTCTCGTTTAAAGAGAACCTGTGTGAAGAGTGTTCCCGTAACGGACCCCGATGCGGCGTCTGTAGGGAGAGCTCGTTCCTGACCAAGGGAATTGAGTGTCAGTTTTGTAAGACCTACTACTGCACCAGACATTCTGCTGGGCAGGATGACTACAGGAGATTTGGATTTGTCCAGGGTCCCTGTTGTCTTGCGTGCCTTAGGGACGAGACTAGGAGAAGAAGGGATCCCGATGGTAACCGTGTCAGGAATAGATCGCCTGGAGGCGTACCTGAGACGAACCCGACGCGGTCGTTCTCGCCGCCTCTGCGGCCACCCGTTGACAGATTCCGTGATACCCCAAATGGAGGTCAACCCAACGCGGCTAACCTTCAGAGTCCTCCGAAGGCTACGCAATCCGTGCCCCTGGATAAACGTGAAACCGGATATTATCCAGGATTTAATCCCAACGGTACAAGGCCGAAGGATCCTTCGGGCCTTGAGCCGCCGACCATGCGTGGCCCCGATCCTCCTGACAAGAAATGTCGGATGTGTGATCGGGATATTCCTGACCCCAGCAAAATTGAGGAATGTAAAATATGCATGAAAAGGGCATGTGAGATTTGCATTCCGAAGGCTACTCGCCTTTGTCCTGTATGTGCATTGTCAATAGGTAGTTCTCAGGTTCCGCAGCATCTTTTCGGAACTGGTGGCGGCGGGTACGGTAGCCACCATGATCCGAACTGTACAGCTGCGACTAAATGCATTTCCATAGACCTCCCGCCAGAGCCCGACGCGGCTGGGCTGAGGGTATGGATAGCCAATATGAAGGAAGCTGTTAGCAATGCCTACAGCTATGATGGACTTTACGTCATCAATTGGCTAACTGAAGTCGAGAAGGCAAAGACCTTTGATGAACTGGATGGGGAATGTAAGTACCACATCCTCGAAGCCAGGTTCAATGCAGCCATTCGGAAGTGCATCAAGACTGTTGCGATCATCGATAAGATTAATCGTCTCACCGAAGCCGCTCAACGCTCCAACAATCGCATCAAGAGTAGGCAGATCCTGTGGCTCTTATACGA